CACACTCACACACACACGCTCACACACACACACACTCACACACTCGCTCACACACACACACACACGCTCACACACACACACATGCACACGCACACGCACACCCATGAGAGCCAGGCCTGCCCTTGCACTTTCACCCCTAGCCACCTGCCTGGTCTGTGGGGTCTCACACCCATCCTCAGGGGCCCCAGGCTGTCTGCCTAAGGGCCCCTCTGTGCTGCCCTCTGAGGTCGAGTAGGAAGCTGGGGTGGGGTGAGAGCTGGCAGGATAGCCACCGGGTAAGCCCTGCCCATGGCCTGCTGCTCCCTGGTGCACATCCCCATCATTGGCATTGCCTTCCCGTGTGTCCTCCCTGTGCCCCCACCACACCTTCCCCATTCTTCTCATCTGCTCCCTGCACAGCAGGCCTCCTAGCAACTCCCTAATGGTGAGGCCTGAAAGGCCCCTGGGCTGAGAATGGTCACCTTCACCAGGAGAGGCAGGAGTGGGGGGCGGGGGGCTGCTCTCAGGAGACGGGCTCCCAGCGTAGGGCAGGCACTCCCGGGAGGGGGGTGGGGTGGGGGGGAGGTCAGGTGGAGCCTCCTGTGTCTCCACATCCCTCTGCGAGGGGGAGGGGCTGATGGAAGGCTGTGGGGAGGAGACAGTGAGGAGTCTGCTTAGCCTGGCCCGTGGCAGCTTAATTGTCAGCTGTCAGTGTGAGAACCACTTAGCAGCCTCCTGCTGAGGAAAGGGGCAGGGGAGCTGACTGACAGCAGAGGTGACGGGGCGGGAGAGGAGGGTGGCCAGCCCCGGAGGGGAGAGGGCCTAGAGCTGGCAGTCGCCACGGGGCCTGGGCTGCTGGAGGGGAGCAGGGCGGCCTGGCACACCCTGCCCCACTCAGCCTCTCCCCTCTCCCCACACCCGGCGTCCAGGCAAGGAGGAGTTTGTGGCGACCTTCAAAGGCAACGAGTTCTTCTGCTACGACCTGTCCCACAACCCGATCCAGAGCAGCACGGACGAGATCACGCTGGCCTTCCGCACCCTGCAGCGCAACGGGCTGATGCTGCACACGGGCAAGTCGGCCGACTACGTCAACCTGTCCCTCAAGTCGGGGGCCGTCTGGCTGGTCATCAACCTGGGCTCGGGCGCCTTCGAGGCCCTCGTGGAACCCGTCAACGGCAAGTTCAACGACAACGCCTGGCACGACGTCCGGGTTACCCGAAACCTGCGCCAGGTAGGGGGAGCAGGAGGAAGGCCAGGGCCCGCTGTGTGGGGCAGCGTGGGAGTGTGGGTGCCAGGCATCAGGGCAGGGCGTCGAGGTGTGGGGCTGCAGGGCAAGGCTCGGCACTGGGAGTGTCCAGGGGTGTGGCAGCAGCGGGCAGTAGCTTCAAGGACCGGGGAGTGGAGCTAGGGAGGCGCTGGAGAGATGCTGTGCTCCGGGGTCATTCCCTTCAGCCAAGGCCTCGCCAAGGGCAGGAGTCTGAGGGGCAGGGAAGGGCTGGGGCTAAGAATCAGGGGGCCTGGCAGAAAGGCCCCGAGGCAGGGAGACGCTGGCCTGGTGGAGCTGTGGTGTCCCGACACTGGGCGGAAAGGCACAGCCAAAAGCCGAAGGCCGAGGTGTGTGTGGGGCACAGTGCGGCCTGCTCCCAGGGGGCCACTCTAGGAAGGCAGGGACGGGCGGAGCACAGCGGAGGTGCAGCAGCTGCGTGAGGGAGCAGGACAGGGGCTTGGTCCCGCGCCTCCTCTGGGCAGCGCACTCCCTACTCTTTCCCTTCCAGTCCCTCCAAAGGAGCCCAGCTCTCCCTTGGTCCATGGCTGTCTCCTATGGCGAAGTCCATGGCTGCCTCCCACGGCTCCCAGCCGCCTGGGCAGGAGCTCAGAGGAGACTCTCGGGTCGCCCCCTGCAGGCAGGACAGGCTCCTCTCTGCAGTGTCCGCTCAGCTCTGGCTCCCAGGCGCACCCTGGAGCGGTGCTGACCTTCGTGGGCATCAGCTCGGTCCTCTGAGCGGCGGCCGCTTTGCCTCTGGCGAGGCGCAGGGTGGCTGGGACAGGGGGGCCCTCTCTGGCCAGGCTTCTGCTTGACAGCAGCCCCCCTGGCTTGTTTCCAGCCCTAGACGTTCCCGCCTCATAGAGGGTCCACACCACACCCTGTGCCTGCGGGAGAGGCCGCTGTGCACCTGCCTCCACCTCCCTCTCCTTCCCCGCTCACTCCGAGGCCAGGCTTTGGCCGGCCTCTCTCGGGGTCCCCTTGCCCTTGTAGCTGATGGTGGTGAAGCGTTTCCAGCTCCGCCTCCCGCACCGAGTGACGCCAGCACAGCGCGTCTCTCCCCGCGAGGCGCTCTCTGCCGGGCCACAGCCCTGCTCTTGCTAGTCAGCGCCTGGACTTCCTGGCTCTGGTTGTGTGGCGGCCGACCCTCGTGGTTTCTCCTCTTCAGCATCGTCCTCCCGCTCCTTCTCCTCCCCTTCCTCCCTCGAAAGGCGCGTCCATGGGGTCGGATTCCGGCCGACCTCTCGCTCTCCTTACCTGGTCCTCTTCGGCGGAGTGACGGCCTCACGGGATCCTCACAGGATCCTCCCGGGGGTCCTCCTCCTGCAGTTCCCCCCTCCCTGCGAGCTCTCCTCGGTTCCTTCCCAGCCTCCGCTGCCTCTTGCAGTCGGGCCGAGTCTTAGTGCGCCTGTGCTCTGAGGGCTGGCATGCCCGGCGGGCACCCCTCCTCGGTGCAGTGCCCTCTCATGGCACAGCAGTCCCTGACCGGGTCAGAGGTGTCCTGTGTGCCACCACTGTGTGAGCAAACCTGAGTGTGTCAGGTACACTTGTCACACTTTTACACGCCACACACACGTACTGCACATAGGACACGTGTGAGGGGCGCTGCCTTTGGCGCTTTCTTTCCCCAGAACCAGTGCTGTCACTGGGACCCTGGACGGGAGGAAGACCCTCTGGCAGGAAGACCCTGCGAGCTCAGAGTCCCTCTCTGTGCATCGTTTGGCCAAAACCCACGTCTTGTGTGTGCATTGGGTGTGGAGGGAAAAGGCACGGCCCCTGCCTCCCCGCCCTGCAGCTCTAGAAGAGACGGGGGGTTGGGGGGGGGACCGAGTGACTGGGCAAGACCCTGCACGTAGAGCTGCGTGGTAGAAACGTCACACGTTCTGGGAACTAGAGATACGAGAGGAGGGAGAGCCGTGGCGAGGGAGGGAGAGCACGGAGGGGCCGAGCCTGGGCTCCGCAGCACCGGGTGTAGACGGCGGCCACGGAAGCCTCTTCCTGGGCTCAGAGGCGTGGGTCCGAGCTGGTAGCTGGTGGAAGCGACTCCCCCGCCTGTTCGACCAGACGGGGCAGGGCGGAGGCAGCCACGCTGCCTGGAACACGGGCCTCCGGGCCACAGGGGTCTCTGCTTAAAGACCGTGATCCAGAGCCCCTTTTAAGAAGGGCTTCTGGGGGTACTTTTTGACTCTAGACCACGTCCATAAAGCGAGGTACACCCCTTTTTGGTGACTGGCCACCGGGGAAGGTCAGCCTCGGGGCTGTGCTCTCGGGTCATTCCCTTCAGCCAAGGCCTCGCCTGAGGTGAGTCCATCCTCACCAGGCCCTTCGAATGCGAATCTCCCAGGGCTTCTGAGACGTTACTGGGTCCTGCTGTCCCTAGGGTAGTGGCTCTCGCTGGAGGAGACACTTGGCAACGTCTGAGACCTTTGGGGTTGTCACAGCTCAGAGACGGTGCTACTGGCATCGAGGGGGCAGAGGCTGGATGCTGCTGGTCCCCCAGTGCACAGGGCAGCCCCACGGCCGGGAGGATGGGGCCCGGTGTCAGCAGGGCCGGGTGGAGAAACGCGCCCGGAAGGGTGTATGCAGTGTCCAGGCCATGTCCTCGGATTGGAAATCCCTTAGGATCTGAGGGGTGGTGTAGGGTTGGGGGCGGGTGGTTTTAAACCAGTGTCCCGTCTCCCAGGTTTTGTGGGCAGGAGCAAGGATGGGAGGCTGTGTAAGAGGTGACCTCTGCCTCCCGTCCAGGGTCCAGGCAGGGCTGGGAACACCGGCTTCCCCAGCGTTTTCCCCAAGTGGTTAGAAGGCCAGAGTGGGGAGGCCGGGCCCCAGAACCAACACCAAGGGGCCTCCCTTCCCTGGCTTTTGGGTCGAGAGGCCAGCTCCAAAGACGGGAAGGAGGCAGGTCTTCCCCCCTTTCCCCTCAAATAGATAATCCGCCCTGAGATCATCAGGAGGCCCCTAGGGCACGGCGCTAGGATGGGGGCGGCCTGGCTGAGACAGCGCCTGCTCCTGCCTTCCTCTCCCTTCGAACCCCGCCTGAGGCCACTGTGACCGGAGGTGTCTCCTGGGGATCTTTGCAGGAATGATTACCTTTGAGAATTCCCCAAGGTCTAGTTTAATGCTGCTTCCACTCTCCTCCCATAGCCCGTATTCCTCCCCCACCGCCCACCGGTGCAAACCCACTTCATCATTAGGCAGCACCAAATGTGGACGACAAGCTGGCTCCCAACGCATCACGTGGCGCCTCCCTGCCCAGCTCCCAAGGCTGCTTCTCAGTGCGGAGATTTCCAGGAGCTTCCCGGCCCCAAGGAGGCAGTCCCCCCGAAATAGGGTCCTCTGGGCATTTGAGGTTCCCTCCCCCGCCTTCCGACCCCGGGCCATCTTCTCTGGCAGCTCACAGGCTGTCATAGGATCTAACTGTGCCGCTCTGGGTACTCCGTCTGCGAGGCTCCCTAGCTCCCGCTGTGTTCCCACAGTGCTCCCACCGACAGCCCCCTTCACCCTCCTTTCTGCCCCGAGAAATCCCAGGGCAGGGGCTTGAGTCAGGCAGGCTGGGTTCCAACCTCAGCTCCGCCACTAGTTCCAGCCCGGAGGCAAGTTTTCCTCTCCGTGCAGCTCCTCATCGGCAAAGTGAGCCTTTGCTGACCGAGGTGGCCCCGGAGAGCACAGGCCTGGCCCCTCGAGCACGGACGGGCTCTCTGCCACCATTGTCGCTGTGGGGCCCTCACCCCTTCGGGCCTGGCCTACATGCCACCTTCTCCCCGAGCTTCCTTCGTCCTCCCACCCCACCAGTCTTTGTTCTGGGCCATGTCCCGGCGCCACCATCACATTCCGTCCGTGTGGGCGCTGTTTGCGTTCATTTCTCTTCTCTATTTTCAGGTGGTCAGCTCCTTGAGGGCTCAATGCCAGCAACTATGAGTCTCTTCAGTTGTTTTTCTAGGTTTTTCCCCCCCGGTTCACTTGGGCTCTTTCTTGAAGGCAGTTGGTGAGTTTCGGACCAGAGGACCCCGCAGATCTATTTCATACGAGCCTCGAACTACCCCTCGCCCTCTGGGAAAGACTCCCACTCGCTTCCCAGAGCCAGGAGGAAGGCTCCCGCCCCGGCTCTGACTTCCCGCCGACCCTGCCCCTCTTACCACCGTCCTCCTCTGCCAGCCCCTTGAGTTCAAGGGTCTGGTTTCTCTTTCGAATCTCACTGAGTTTTCTAACAACCCTGTGAGTGGGAGGTACTCCCTTGTTACCAAGGAGGGCATCCTTGGCCGATGGTCCAGTTAGGAAGTGGTGGCACGGAAGTCGTCCGACTCCACAGCCACTCCAGTTCTCTGCCTGGTGCTGTCATTGGTACAGAGTGCGAGGGCGGCTGCAGTCTGTCTTGCGGTTCTGCCACTCTCGGTGATTCTCAAATCTTGAAACCATCGGAATGTTCCGCCTGCTTCTCAGAGAACAGGCCCCTGTCAGCTCCGCGTGGAGCAGGCGTCTCTGCTTTGTCCTGAGTTTTTCTTGCTCGAGCTCCACAGAGGTTGCCTTCTTGCCGCCTTTTGTGATTTTTGTGTGTAATCCCCCTCGTGGCTTTCTTGAAGGGCTGGGGCTACATTCAGAGTTCAAGGTGCAGATGGGGTGTAGTTTTGTGCAAAGGCCCTTGGCCATGAGAAGTTAGCACGTGATGCAATGACCGACTTCTCCCTTCTGTGACTCGGCGTCCTCCTCCCTCATCGAGCTGCCATTCCCGGGCTCCTGCCCATTCCGGGCTCCTGCGCTGGTTCTGTGCGTGGGAAAACCCTTCCCTGCCCACTTGTTAGTCTGAGGTTCAGCTCTCTGGGTGCCGCCATTTGGGAAGGCACAGGTTGCCATGTCACGGGCCTCCAGGAATGGGTTCCAGTGGGAGCTCCACTCCAGTGTTTGCCCATAATTGCCCCCTCTGGCACCATCTCCATAACTGGGTTCTGAATCCCAATCCCTGGGTCTAGAGGGGCCCCTGTCACCTGCTCCAACCTTTCAGAGAAGCCTGGATCCCTGGACACCTTACTGGAAGGCCCAGGCTCTGAACTCACATCTCTTCCCTCTTCTCTTTCTTTTTTTTTAAAGTATATTTTTATTGATTTCAGAGAGGAAGGGAGAGGGAGAGAGAGAAATATCCATGATGAGAGAGAATCATCGATTGGCTGCCTCCTGCACACTCCACACTGGGGATGGAGCCCGCACCCTTGGCATGTGCCCTGACTGGAATTGAACTGTGACCTCCTGGTTCATAGGTCAACACTCAACCACTGAGCCATGCCAGCCGGGCACATTTCTTCCGTCTTAATCTTGCTTCTGAATTTGCTCTTCTATTTGCTATAAGGGAAGTTGTCCATGAAAGTTGGAAACTTTTAATTTTAGTTTCCACAACCAGTTCCAATTCAAAAAGAGTAGCAGTTGCACCTCGCCTCCAATGCCTCTTCTCTGCCTCGCTGGACTAGTGCCGGGACCCCAGGCAACTCTTCCCTTGTTTGGGTGCAATTGTTTAGCTGCCCTGAAGCTGGCTCCTCACTCTGACTAGTTGGTCTCTTCGCTTCACGACAGTCCTGCCATCTGATAGCACCGGCCCTGGCATTGCCCGCTCTCCCCGCGCTCCCGCCTCTGCCCCGCAGTTAGATTCTCGTCCTCCTGCTCCGTAAACTGCTCTGCTCACTGATAATTAATATTGGTTATTCAGCACTTCTAGCTGCTAAATATTGAATTCTGTTATTTTTAATTACGCGAGGCCCTTATTAATTGTGTTACTGAATTAGCCCTGTGCCCACTGGTTATCATAACTCTCTAATGGATCTGTCCCTGGGATACTTTTCCTTCTCACAACCACCCTCTCAGGCGTGCAGTTTGGTGTTTAATGGACATCAAGCAGTGGTGTCCCCCCACCTGATGCTGTATGTGAAGCTGCCTCGGCCCCCTTGACATCTCCCCCCGACAGACCAGGGTGATTTCCAAGGTGGTGGTTGCTGCCGTCTTTGGCCAGGAGAAGAGAGAATGAATGTGGGGATAGAAGAAGCTGGTTTCTAGCTGAGGGAGGAGTAGGGATGTTAGAGGTATGCGGTGTGGAGGGGGTGAATTTCTGGTTCTGGCTGTGGGCAGTGGAGGCTCAGGGGCGGTGGTGGTGGGTACTTAATTCTGGGAGGGGCGTCTGCCGAGAGGAGCATAAGAGAACTGGGGGTGGGGTGACTGAAGAACGTGGGGGACTTTTGGGGAATGTGGGCTCTGCAAAGTCAAGTTAGGCTGGAAGGAGGAGTCAGCTGTGGGTGGGAGAGGGGCAGGGGAGGGAGGGGGTTTGGGAGGATTAGATATGATTTGAGAGTGAGCCCTCTGCCAGCCCATGGAGGGCAAGGTTTCCTTTTCCTCATTCTCATTCTGGTGACAGCTCACTCTCTCTTCCTTTCTCAAGGAGGAGAAACAGACCAAAAAAAAAAAAAAAAAATGAGGAGCTGCCCCTCCCCGTGGTTCCCTGGATCTACCTGCCTGTCCTCCATCCCCAGGAAAAGCAGACAACCATATCCCCTCCTACACCCCTTGGGAACCCTTCCCTGTGTCCCCAGATGAAACCACCTCTCATTCTCGCCACTCCTGTGATTCTCTAGGGGTGTTGGCCACCATTCTCCCAGCCTGACAGCCAGCTGGCCCACCTCCAAACAGTTAACCCATTAACTCAACATGGTCATTGGTCAGCCAGTTGGCCAGAACCAACTTGCTCTTTAGCCAGTTCTCCGGAAAGCCATCTGGTTGACCAGTTAGCCAACCAACCCACCCGTCCATGACCTAAGTCCATAGTCCATCCCGTTCTCACACCCCTTGCTCCCCTCCCTCCCTTTCCCTCAACGTCCTAACATTTCAGCCGGAAGGATGTACTAATACTGCATAAATGGGTCTGCTTCTTAACCCCCTGCCTGCCCTCTTTCACCCTCTGTTGGAAAACCCCCCTTGCCGACTCTGTGTGTATTACTAACACGCTTATAACCCAGGGGACCAAGGGATGGGCAGGGACAGGTGGGGCGAGGTATGAGTGAAAGACTGAACTAACCTTTGTCTCATCTGCGGAATGTCGGCCATTTTTAAGTCTTTGCTTTCTCGGTCCAGTTCTTTTGTTGTTTTCTTCTCTACTAACCAAGGTCTTTAACTGTTCCCCTTCTCCACAGCAGGCTCTTCCTCCGGGAGGGGATGGGGGAGAGGTATCCAGAGGAGGGGTGGGGGCGGACTGGGAGAAGGAGGGATTTAATTTCTGTGTGTGTTTGATTTCTCCTTCCCATCCTAGGGTGGGAGGGTCTGAACAAACCACCAACTATATATGGGCATGTATTTCTCCTCCTTCCTTGAGTTTCACAGTTGGTCATTTTATTTTTCCTTTCTTTCGTTCTGTTCTTTTGTTGTCGTCTCCGTTGTTTTGTTTTCTTTGACCCCCGCCCCTCCCCCATATCTCCGGTGAAGCACGCAGGGATTGGACACGCTATGGTAAACAAACTGCATTATCTGGTAGATATCACTCTAATTGTCTTACCGTTTGGTTTGCCGTGGGTTTTTTTAACTGTTCGATTCTCCCTCTTTTGTTTCCTCCCCCTGTTTGATTTTGGTTGTTTTGCTCTTCCTTTTTCTGCGTCCTGGACAACCTTTAGATTTTTGCTTCTCCTTTAGTTTTCCTCTTTCCCTTTTGTTTCTTTTTTGGTCCAAACTCAAATCCAAAAGACAAATGGAAATCGAGGAATTTGGCCTGTCCCTGCCCTAACCCCCTGACTCCTGAATTCAGATTCCTGGCCAGAGGGGCCTGGGGCAGGCCCGTGCCCATCGGCTCTGGTTAGACCAGCCCCGATGCCAGGCTGCTTACTTCTATTGCTTTGTTTTGTTCATTTCCCCCCCCTCCCTCGTTTTTTTTTTTTTTTTCTCTCTCTCTCTCTGATTTAGTTTCTTTCTTGGTCTCCTGAAAATCCATGGAAAACACCATCCCATGACATGCTCCGCTCTGCTCACTGTCACTCCTGGACAGGCCCCTTGAGTTGGAGGAGGGGGCTGGGGTGAGCCCTCCAGTGGCAGCCAGCGGGGCAGGCTCCCCAAGGGGGGCAGACGTGGCCTGGGAGGTGCCCAGCAGCCTGGGACCGGTCCAGATTGCTTCTTCAAGTCACCAGTGCATACCAGTTTGGGGGCTGCCCCACGCTGGCTGCCAGGGAAGAGGTGACATCCCTACCCTCGCTTCTCAACCTTGCGGGTTCCTGGTCCCGCCTTCCCCCACATTCTGCATGGCACGAATGGTCTTTTCCCCCACCAGGGACAGCGTCCAGTCCCCCCACAGCTCTGCTGCTCTGACTAACACTGTGTTTCACACTGTCTTCCTTCCCCTCCATCTCTCCCCCCCTCTCTGTCCCCTGCCTGTCCAGCATGGCCTCTGCCCGGGGCTGCTTCCTTCCCTGTTGAGGGGTGAGAGGAGGAGGCCCAGTAGGGGTAACGTTGGGGTGGTTGTCACCAAGCTCCTCTGTTTGGGTTGGACTCAGTTCCCGTGAGTGTGGGTGTGGGTGTCTGGATAAATGCAGCTGGTGTGCGTTGGTGTGTGGGTGCGAGTGTGTGTAAATGTTGGTGTGTCATGGAGGGGTGTCAGTGGGAGACTGTACGCTGTGTTTGTGAGATTCTGCTGGTGACTCTCCATGTGTAAGTGCCGGTGTGAGCCGGGGCCGTGTGACTGCGTGTGTGTTGAGCCTGGAGAGGGCTCTGCGTGGAGGTGGTGTGGGGGCAGGAGCAGGCCGCCTGCGTGTGTGCCTGCAGGGCCTGCTGCGCCATCCCCTGGGATTCCCTCTTGCCTGCCAGGTCTGGGCTCTGCGGTGGCAGGCGGTTAGTCATCGCCTATTAATAATGCAGAGTGATTGAGCTCCAGCCTGGCGACCCTCCGGTGGACGTGTCTGCTCCCCCGGGGCCCACGCTGCGTGGGGCAGATGCCTGGCCTTCCCGGCCTCCCAGGTCTGTGTGGCTGGCAGGCTGGCAGGGAGGGGAGCAGGATAACTAGGCTCCCAACCTGGGAGGCTCCCCCACCTCCCCAGGAGGCCCTACCTCTCAGGTCTGTGTTTCCCCGAACCACAGACTCATGGTCGCCCTGTCCTCTGCTCGCCCCTGAGCCAGTGCCCCTGGCTATAGCCACCCTAGCTCTCCCCAAGCAGAGGTCTTATCTGGTCACGCCCAGCTGTCCCACGTTCAAATGGAGCCACTTGAGGTCCCAACACCACCCTCCCAGTCTGTTCCCCAGCTGCTGCTCCAGGTTTAGCTGCTGCCACTCCCCAGCCTCCCAGTACCTGTCAGGACCTCTCTTTACAGCGCTTCCCGGGGACAGGGAGGCGGGATCAGCCCCTGCAGCACCCCCGGCACCTGGGGAAGCCACCTGAGAGTGAGGGCCTGCAGACCCCCTTCCAGTCTCAGTTCAGTTAAAATGGACCATGTGACCTGGGCTAAAGCTCAGTCACCCTGGGCTGACGACACACCTGTGTGGCCTGTTTCCTGGGGTCAGTGGAAGGTCAGCAGGGGTAATGCAAGCGAAAGCCTGTGTGCTCCGTAAAGGGGCCTGTAACTTTACGAAGCTTATAAAACGCTAACTGATCATCTCAGTGTTGCCAGGGCCGGGTGTTTTGTAAGGATGCTGTTCCCTTCCCACAGCAAACCCCGGGGAGTGCTGGAGACCCTATTCCCATCCCCTTAGGAACTAGTCCTAAAACAACTGCGTGAGACCCCAGAATGCCTCAGGAATTGGGTCTGGGAGGAGGAGAGACGGGGTGCGTAAGCTGGTTACGAAGCAAAGAGCCCCGTGTGGTTCCCCCTGGCTCAAGTCTCGTCTCCGAGGGCTGTACTCCCCAGCGCCAGCATCGCTGTCGGGGATCGGGGATCAGAGCCGTTGCCCCGGGGTGGCCCAAGTAGCCTTGTAAACCCCGATAAATCTGTCGCAGGGACTGGCTTTTTCAGGGAAGACTGGAGCCAGAGGACAGGGCCCCGAGAGACAGGGTTCCCTGTTCTGGTTCCCGGGCGTTCCTCAGCCCGGCTCTTCTAGTTCTGTATTTACTTTTATTAACTCTTTTCTTGTCATTTGAACATTCCTCCCCGGGGGAGAGGGTGAACCAGTTGAGAGGTTTGGATTAGTTGTTGTCGGGCCGATGGAAGTGTTCTTGTAAAAATAATAATAGTTCTTTGTACATACGCCAGGGGCTCTGGTTCCTCGAAATAGCTCTCACTTTTTGAATATCATTTAAACTCCATGACTGTCTAGATTGCGGGCAGAGATTACTCCCAGTTAGCAGATGGGAAAACTGAGGCCCAGAGAAAGCCGGCTGTGGAACATTCCAGGGCTTTCATTTCGGTTGTCTCTGTGAGCCGCAGAGTCAGCCTGGGAGGAGGGCGAGTGATGGGAGCTGTTAAAGCCCTTTGACAGCTGAGAGTCAGAGAGGGAGGGCGGATTGTTTTAGAAAACGGTGGAGGCTAAAGGACTCAGGATTTCTGTCCTCAGCTTTTTCAAATCCAGATGCCAGGACGCACTGTGGGGCTGTAACTGCTGCTGGGCCATCTTCCTGGGGGTCTTTCCAGCCAGTCTCTCTCTCTAGCTTCTCCCCACCCCAGACAGATGGCTAACCGTCAGCATGCAGCGGCCTGCACACCTCCCTCTGAC